TAAAATACTTCTTAATAACTATTACTTTTTTTAGTAATAAATAGTTATAAATAAATATAGTTTATATCTAAATTTAACCTTAAAAAGTCTATATAATATAAAATAGATTTTCCTTAGTTCATAATAGTATAAAGTAATTTTTCTCTTTTTGTATAATATAAATTTATTTTAGAAGAGGTTCAGCTATTTTACTGATATTCATTTCATAGATACAATATTTTACTGATAATTAATTCACTGATATATTTGTTTCATAGACAACTAATTTCTAGACAAACTTATTTTGTAGACAACTTATTTCATCAACAGCTCATTTCACTGATATTATTACTATTAGAATTAGAGTTAGGTTAGGTTAGAGTTAGAGGAATTATGAGAAATTAACTTGTCAGTAAGATAAGCTGTATATAAAATGAGTTGTCTACAAAATGAGCTTGTCTAGAAATTAGTTGTCAGTGAAACAAACATAATAGTGAATTAATTGTTAGTAAAATGTTGTGTCTATAAAATAAATGTTAGTGAAATAAGGCGTATCCTTTTAGAAGTTATAGATCTTTTTTAAAGTTTATATAATATAGATCAAGTATGATATAGATTATAATTAGCAAAGAAGAAAAAAAGGCTTCTTGAATTTCTATATAAGACTTCTTTAGAAATTAATAAAGAAGGAATAATAAACTTCTTAAATTTTAAGAAAAATTTTTTTAGAGCTTCTTTAAATTTTTTTAATTAATTATTTTTCTAAAAATATTTTTTTGTTTTTCTACTAGAAAATACTAAAATATTATAAGTATTTAACTAATACAAGCAATATAAAATATAAAAGAAGGGCTCTTAATAATATCTAAATGAAATATTATTTCACTATAGTAGTTTATTATATAATATTTATAAAAGAGCAAATATTATATTTTATTTATAATACAATATTAATAATATAAGACTATCTATTAGTTACTATATTAAGAGAATTTTAATATTTAGAAGATTGTAAAAAACAAAACTTTTTTTTTTTTTTTTTTACTTTATACAAATACTATTAGCTTAACTTTATTAATTTTATAAATTTTGAAAGTAATATATATTGTGAAAGTACAAATAGCTATATATATAATTTTAGATTATCTATTTAAATAGTCTATCTGAAAGTTCTACACTAGCTGCTATATCTGAAATCTTTTAAAAGATTCTCTATTTAAACTCTCTAGTCCTATCCTATTTACTACAAATATTATTCTTATTATTAACTATAACCTCATGCTACTTCACTTTAGAAGGTATTCAAACTGATATTAATTAAAACTTTACTATTATAGGCTTAGATCTTACTCAAATAAGTCCTACTTTAACATCCCTAATAGATAGATGAGAAAATATCCAACTATACTATGCTATATCTTAATCTAGCTTGTATATACTCTTATTCAATGTTTGTATAAATCTAGTTCTAGCTATAGCTTTCTACTAGTTTAGACTTTTGTATTCTTCTGAATATTTTATGAAACAAATTCTTTTAATCTAGTTAACTGCTAAGCCAAGTTGGTATAGCTATAATACACAATATTATAGACTTACTTGCATTTACTCAATCTATATCTTTATACTCAGAAATCTTTGTTAGATTAAGCATTAACTAGTATGACTATTGAAATCTATACTATTTCATCTAACTCAGAATTTCTACTATGCAGATCCTCTGTTTATAAATTCTATTTTAATTTATTTATATAACGCAACTCTAATATTCTATTATACTTCTAATATCTGAACAACATTTCTACTATCAATAAATTTGAATAATTATCTAGACCTTTGTATCTAACTTACAGTAAACTCTATTTGTTTTTGGAGTTGTAACCCTGTAAATTATATTATACTAATATCAATTAGATATTAGAAGTATAATATGATACTCAGAGAAATATAATACTATATGAAGAAATCTTGATAGGATTTATGAGCAAAAGACCTGCATAGTAGAAATTTTAAGTTAAATGAAGTAGTATAGATTTTAACAGTTATACTAGTTAATATTTGATCTAGTAGTATGAATATGTAGATCGAGTTAAGGTGCAAGTAAGTTTATTTCACAGAGAGAAATAACAATACCAACTTGGCTTAGCAGCTAACTAGATTTGGAAGGATCTTCTTATGAAGCATTTGAAGTATCACTAGTGAAGAGCTATAGTAGAAACTGAGTTTATATGAATATCGATAAGAGTATAAATCCTGATTACATATTACTCTAGTTATATCAACATTTTTGAGACATTAGTAAAAAAATTCAAAATGTTGATATAGTGAGTTATACTGACATTTTATATTAAATTTTTGAAAAAAATTGTCAGTATAGAAAGATTTTACTATAGTGTTATTATATCCAGATGTTGGTATAACTAGAGTAATGTGTATACTATAAAATAGATATAGAATATTCTAGATAGAGGTATAGTTCATGAGTAAAGTAACCTGAAGTCCTTAGATTACTAGTTTGAGTTGATGTTATAGAAAAAATATTTAAAGTCAGAGAATTTAAATAGAGGATCTACAAGTAGATCTCAGGTATAGCAACTAGCAGGTAACTCTCAAGCAGAACCTTTAAATAAATAATAACTAAAATTGTACATGTGGCTATTTGTGGTCTTGTACAAATAAAAAATATAATACCTTCTATGTAATATTAGATGTATTCTCAATAATAAAATTACTAGGATATAGAACTCCTTCTTTAAACAGTAAAAAAAAAAAAACTTGCTAATGGCTATAAGGTTGAACTATATTTTTATAAATAAACATTATATTCATTTCTGCAAAAATACAGTAACTAGATATGGCAACTCAGATTATTTACTTGTAGAATGCAAACTTGACTTCTCAAAAAAGCAACACCAGGTAGCATAGTAGAGATTCAATAAATAGTGTCTAACGAATGATTCTCTACTAACAAGGATTAAAGCTGAACTAAGTCAAGTTACCTCAATAAAAGAATGAGACTGGTACAAGTGCAGAATTTAATTGATAATCAGGGCCTACTCACTTCCTCGGTTACCAGAAAGTGCTATACAAAAGCTAAATAAACAAATTACCTTATTAAATGCTGAATTAGCTAGAGATTCAAATAAGGAAGTTCTGTTAATTCTAGTAGAACAATTCAAATATAAACTACAAGCTGAGCTTAACAATCTTTCAGATCTGTGATAGCTAAGATTGAATTCCAGATGGATCGAATACAAGGAAAAATCTACAAAGTATTTCTTTACTAGTTAAAAAATAAAACATTCTATTCAGTAATGAATAAAATCAAAATTCTAGGCAGATCAACTGAAACTAACTCTAAATCTATACTGTCTTACATCAGAGATCAATATGAATTATTATACAAAGCAGAATCTGTAAAGGATAGCTTAAAAGATAAAATAATAGAGAATTTAGGTAAAATTTCTACTGAGAACAATAATAAGCTAATGGAAAGAATAACCAAAGAAGAGATTATTCAGGTTATTAAAGAGCTCTCTAATAACAAGGCCCCTGGGATGGATGGTCTTACCTAATGATGCCTCTCGAAACTCGAAACTTTCGAGAGCATCGATATCGAAACTGTCTCGAAACTAATTTCGACAAAATTTTATTTTCGAAACTTCTTGAAACTCGAAACTTATATTGAAACTTGAAACTTGTATCGAAACTCGAAACTCATATCAGAACTCGAAACTCATATCGGAACTTGAAACTCATATCGGAACTAATGATGCCTCTCAAAACTCAAAAGTCATATCGAAACTTGGGAACATAACCCAGTGATCTATATGATGTCATTTTGTTTACTAGTACTAACAAAATCAGCCTAAATTATACTCTAACCCTAACCCTAATTTTAGTAAAAATGAAATACTTTTATGAAATATCTTTTTAAAATGAAATACTTTATTGAAGTAAATATTTTTTTAAAATAAAATACTTAATCGAAGTAAATATTTTTTTTTAATTTTAATAAAATAAATTTAGGGAATTGATATTCGTACCCCAAATTTGATATTTAAACCCTCTTGAAATTAAAAGATTTTTGAACTTTGAGCGAAGATATCTCAACAACCATCT